CCTACGATTTCTCTCCTCTGCCTTTGGCGTCATGCGTTTGTGGGCGGTCTCTAGCCACATGCATAAAATGTGATGTTTGGATCCGTCTCAGCTGTTGTGTTCACAGCTGGTGACACGGAGCTGCTGCAGTATTTGTAGTGGATTCATTCTGAGTTTGTTGGAGAACAGTTACACACTAATCACCTGAGAAATGGCGTGCTGACCTTTAGAGCTGCTGCCTGAAACGTCACTGCCTCAAGCTGCCGCCACGTCATCACGTTGAGCCTGTGTTTGAACCTTTATGTTCAAACACAAACATCATGTTGTTTGTTTATGTTTGTCTTTCCAGGCTCGTACCTGCCAGCCAGTTACTACGCCTCCTCGTACGGCGGGAAGGTGGGGGCGGGCGAGGACGGCGAGAAGCCCTCCAGGTCAAGTCCGTCTGTGAAGCCGTCCAGCGAGGCCAAAGCTCTGGACCTGCTGCAGCTGCACGCCAGCCAGTACAAAAGCAAGTCGCCGTCCATCCAGGACAGCAAGACGCCACATGACCGAGAGCGGGAGAGAGAAAGGGAGGGCGACCGGCCATGCTCCTCGCCCTCGCAGCGCATCATGCAGTCCCATCACCACCTGGGATACCCTCTGTACGACCTGTCCTACCCCTCAGGTGAGCCTCGCCTGCTGCCTGTTTAGCTCAGGTGTTCTCGGACTGGAGGACAACCTGCTCAGTTTAGTGACCAGCCACACAGCCGTGGTGATGCTGACCTCCCATGATTCATAGCTGGAAAGGGATCCTCTGAGCCCGCCCACCTCACCCCACTGAGCCTGCAGCTGCTTTTAATGAGCGGCGCGTGCGAGTCTGTTTCAGTTCTGACATCCTGTCTTTGTTTCAGGCCTCTCGTCCTCCGCCATCGTCGCCAGTCAGCAAGCGTCCGCCCCGTCCATGTACCCGCCCGCACGGAGGTGAGAACGGTAAGACACACACACACACACACACACACACACACACACACACACACACAGCAGTTATGTGTGAGGACTGCGCAGGTGCTCATCACATCCATGAACATGCTTGGACCCTGCTTCAGGCGTCTCAGTGCAGCAGCTCCACCTACTGGTCAGATCAGTGAATCTCAGTGTAAAAAA